AGCTATATAATCAAGGCATGAACCCTACACACCATTGGCCAAAGAAGGCTGAAACACATTGAAACAAAAAAACACACCTGTTCAGCACTTGTACGAAGGTGCTAATCTGAACTTGACTTCACAGCATCGAACAGAGGAGTTTGCACCAGCATCACCCTTCTCTGACTAGGGTTTTCTTGCAGTTACAGCCAGGAAGAAGGGATCACAAAGCTGCCGCCAGAAACTACTAGGGTTTCCCAAAAAAAAAAACTGCCGCCAGACATTGCTAGGGTTTCTGCAGAACCAGCCGCCAAAAACCTGCTAGGGTTTCTGCAGAAACAGCCACATCCAAACACTTTTAAGAACAGGGCAGGAGGGATCGTAGGTCTTTTTCAACCCAGAGAACCAGCTCCAATACCATGTGGTGATTCGTGGGGATTGGGAGAGAGAGAGAAAGAGAGAGAGAGGGAGAGAGGTACGGTTGAGAGGAAAAAGTCACTACTGGCAGCCGCCAGTTTTCTATTTATATTAACTTCATAAAAGAGTCTGAAATTACAAGTATGCCCCTGGCGGCATATCCTAGAAATAAAATAATAAGAAAAAAGAAAAGAAGAAAAAAAACAACTGTAACTGTAACTGTAACTGTAGCTATTAAATAAGCCTTACAACAAGCACCATGTAAAAAACATCTTGGCAATTAATCAAGGTGACCCTCCATGAGTGCCTTATCGCCTAAGCGTCGCCTTGACAACTATGTTTTCTACATGAAAATTTCTGTTCTTGGTGAGACTCCATGCATTTTTGGTGGTGAAGACTCCATCAAGGACCTCAATTGAAGGTTAATGACAATCTAGCATTTGGGGAGGAGAACATGTATCATCTATGTATTCACGGAAATCCTTTTATTTCCTTAACAAGTAAGAAGGTGTTTGTTACCCAGAGATTCTTCTTTTAGTTAATTGAACATTGATCATTTATTATTATTACTATTGCTTAATCTTAGCGATTGACTGATATTCCAGTTTTTACTAATACTCTAAATTCTTCAAACTCTATACTTTTGCTCTAACTACCAATCCAATCAAATTCCAAATTTAGCCCATCTAAATACACCTGAAGTTAACAAAATACCCCCAGTTGAACATTCTTGCTTTCTTTCCCTAATTTCTTCAGTTAGATTCTCAGCCTTTTAATCATCAAATTCCTTAAAGTATAAGAGACCTATGTCTCTTTGATTATCCTACACACTTGGTGCTCCAATTTCAAAATGACCTTTTTGGATAGCATTACAAACAAAAATATCATGTCCATCAAAAAAAGTAATTGTTTGGCAAATGCCAATAACGTACCCATACGCATCAACAATTTCCTGAAATGCATTAGTGAAGCAATTGGTTCTAAAATATGTAGGTGGTGATTCCACAGCATCCATCACTTGAAATATTATCCCCACTTGTGAGTTGCTATCAATTGTTGCTTGTTGCAACATATCCTGAATCTGTTGCATAATAAAATACACTGTCCTTTAAAGCTAATGTCAATGTGTAAAGGTTTTTAAGTACTGAAATATTAATTTCTGTCTTATGGCACAGCTATCCATCAAAGAGGGAAAAAAAAAGATGTGGTAGAAGTCAAAACATTACCTTAGGCTTTGCAAATATAGGGCACCAGCCTTCTCCAACTAGGCATTTTTTTGTAACATCAAAGTTGAGCATATTGAGAGTATCATATACAGCCTTTTCCTTTCTTACCTAGTAAAAAATAGTAAATTGATAAGGAAGCTTCAATAGCAAAAACTAGTAAAAATAGGAAAAAGAAGGAATATTTATTAAAGATAAGTTTCTAAATCCTACATCTCAATTTCAACATATTTGCTTTTCCTGTTTGTTTGTTTGTTTGTTTGTTTTAAATCAGAACAAAAGCATATAATATATTAAAATAAAAATAAAAGAAGATTTATCAAATACAATACCCACCTTGCATTCCTTAATAATCCCCCTCCCTCTGGTGCAAGAGTGAAAAAAAGGCAAACCCAAGAGAAAAAGTCATAAACATAAAAAACCAAAATGCCCTCAGCACAGAGCTAGTCCCAGATCCCACCACCAAAAGCACAGTACCAGCTAAAACAAATATAAAACATGAGACACAAAGTGATGTGCCCCTTCAATTGGACATAAATCTCCATGTCATTGCCCCAATGTCACCAACACTCCCAAAAACATAAGAAATTAAGCAACTACACTACTTCTCTCCTTCAACAGTCCTTCAACCCCTAACCCTGCTCTAGGCACCCCTGTGCTTTTCTCTCTTAAACCCTACCTTCCCAGCCAAGATAAGGATTCCAATGATAGTTCCATCTTTTTACTGATACCCCCACTACCACCAACACCAAAGAAGCTCTTCCCCCATATAAGCATTATCATTTTGACCACTTTGCATGTTTCTTTCCTCCAACTCCAGCTATTAAGTGGTTCCTTCCTCTAGTCTCTAACTCCAACTCCAGCAAAGATAAGGATTTTAATGATTGCTTCATCCTTTCACCAACACCACCACCACTGAAGAAGCTCTTCCCCCATGGAAGAATGATCACTTTGACCACCTTGCATGTTTCTTTCCTCCAACTCCAGCTACTAACTGGTTCCTTCTTCTAGCTTCTTAAAGAATACACATAACATTCAAGCCCTCAAAATCCTATACCCCATCTTATCACTCGAAGAATCAAGTGTATGATTCACCTCACAGTAAATTCCATTGCATGCTCCACAAGAGCATGACTCCTTTTCCTCACTTTTTGAAGTAGCAACAACATAGGAAACCAACTCCACAACCTGGATAAACTTAAAGAAAACCTCGACTTTTACTTAGGACCTCTAGTTTTATAGGTCTTCAGTTGTTCTTTTAGTAGAAAGGTTTGGATAACCTGTTTTGATATAAAATCTGTAAAAGATAGAAGAGAAAGAAGAGAGGAAAAAGTTTTTGCTAGAAAGAAAGAGAAGAGAGATAGAAGAGAATGGGGAAGAAGCCAAAATCAAATCTGGCCACCCCTTTCATTAGACTCATAAATAAAGAGTGTACAAGTACAAGTATGCCCTTACTAAGTCGGCTACTTGTAAGAAGTTGAAAAGTCACACTTAGCTTAAACATAAACTAATGGGCCTAAGGCCCAACAACTACCTAACTAAGTCATGTAAATAAAAACAAATAAAATTGGCCCACAACTCAACACTTTTCAACCCCATCCAACCCTTAACTCTCAACAAATAATCAACATGATGATAGTGAATGCTGATGAAAGGACACTCACAACCAAACACAACTACAACAGCATTGTCCTTGAAAATAAATTGATTGCAAGTTGGATGATGTTTAAAAATGGCATTCTAACCCAGGACTCTATAACCAAATATTTTCCAGCTGCAAGTATATAAAGAAATCTGTACCTGCAAGGCTAAAGGCTTTCACATGGCTAGCAGCACTTGACAAAATCCCTAGGCATGCCAACTCAAATGATAGAAAATTCCGCCTAACAAGCAAGTGTATTATGTGCAAAGAAGCCAAGGAGGATGCCAGTCATTTATTCTAGCAACACAAAAATACAAAAAAAAAAGATTTGGGGCTCTCTCTTTATCCTCCAACTGGACTGGAGGATTCCAAAACCAATTACTTGAGTTGATGCAACTTGGTGGTTGATCCTTCTGAAATCAAAGGTTGAATGTTGTTGATGGAAAATGTTGAATATTGTAGAGAACCAACCCATGTGTGATTTTTTAGGGGTCATAAGAAGAATGAAGGGGATCTCACCTACAACCCAACCCTATTATGTGTGGAACCAATGGTCCATTACTGATAAAAAAGATATGGAACTGATGGTCATTATGTCCAATGGTTGTGAATCTATATCTATAAAGTGCTCAGGCCCCAGGAAAAATGAATATCTACAACAACAAGATGATGTGGGACTCCAAAGTAACCCCATTTATCTGATAGCAACTGAAACCCTTTGACAATCTTCCGCCCATTTTTCAGAATGAGAAGGGCATCAACATGGCATATCTTCTAACCAGATATTTAACGAAAAAAGAGAGAAGGAATAACCAATGTTCCATTTCACTATTTGACATTAGTGATTGTTCATATGAGGTCATGTTTTCAACATTGTGTTCAACCAGCGGTTGGAAAAGTTGGCTCATAACATGGCAATAAGTTTGGGTCTGTTTCTCTTTCACCCTGAACCATTCACACATGCAAAAAAAATGTTGACTTGGTCAATGATCTGGTAACTCAGCCAATTAAAACGTTTGACTCCAGAAGGTCATGGGTTGTTCTTTTTTCTTTTTTGTTTTTGTATTTTATCAATTCCATCATTAATAACAATAATACTTATTTATAACTCATTTTTATTTAATATGATGGATAAATAATATAAGACATACCCAATTTTTCTCTACAAATTTTTTTATCAATAACCGCAAATTTCATTAATATTAAAGAGTTAAAAAGAGAACACAATAAAGAAGAAAGTCAATGAGAGATAAATCCTATTATCTCTCCCTACAAGATACTATCGTTTTCTAACAACTGTGCCCAAAATATTTGATTTCTCCCCTCCCCTTGTTTTGCTAGAATATCTACCAAGGAATTTGCACTCCTTTTGACCCATTGCATCCTCACATCCATGTCCTTTGTGAGCCATTTGAACAGTTGAAAAACAGCCCTAGAACTATGGGACTGCGCAAGAAAACCAGAAAAACAACAAGAGAAGATTAGAGAATGAGAGAGAGAGAGAGCTGCGACAAGGAGGGTTAGAGAATGAGAGGTTCGAACTAAACCTCCCTCTAACACTCTAATACACTTTTATTAAGTTAATCTTTGAGTAATTACAAGAGAGGTCCTTGGTTGGACAAGAAATTACAAAAAAAAAGAGCATAGAAGAGTATGGGCCCAGAATAAGGCCCATTACAGAGAAGAACATAAAGTAACAGCCTATGGGCCATTCGGCCCATCTTCTCTACACTCCCCCTCAAGCTGAGCATAGATGTTAATCATGCCCAGCTTGCTAGTGTCATGCTGAAGCCTTGCCTTGGAATACCCTTGGTGAGGAAACCTACCAATTGTCCTTCAGATGTAATGAATGGAAGACACACTTCACCCGAAGAGACTCTTTCTCGAATAAAGTGTCTATCAACCTCAATATGTTTAGTTGTATCATGTTGTACGGGGTTGTGGGCAATGTTGATGGCAGCCTGATTATCACAGTACAACATCATTGGCTTGTCATAATCAATCCCGAGTTCTTCCATCAATGAACTTAGCCACAACAGTTCAGAGACTCCATGTGCCATGGCCCTATATTCTGCTTCTGCTGAGGATCGGGCCACAACTGATTGTTTCTTGCTCCTCCAAGAGACAACATTACCAGCCACCAGACTGCAATACCCTGAAGTAGATCTTCTGTCATCAATATTTCCAGATGTCCATGCTTGGTAAACAGAATCCCTTTTCCTGGAGAGCCTTTCAAATAACACAGAACTCGTTCTGCAGCTGCCATATGAGTATCTCGAGCGGCATGCATGTACTGGCTAATACAACTAACAGCATATGCAATATCTGGTCGAGTCATGCACAGGTACAGGAGCTTCCCAAGAAGTCTCTGAAAACCCCCTTTGTCTCCCAACAATGTCCCGTCTGAAGCAGAAAGTTTGTGACTCATATCAATAGGAGTTGCAGCTGGTCTAGCACCCATCTTCCCAGTTTCAGAGAGCAAGTCAAGGACATACTTCCTTTGGGAGATAAGAATCTCATCCTTGGATCTAGCAACTTTTATGCCAAGGAAGTATCTCAACTCCCCCAGATCCTTAATCTCAAATTATGTACGAAGGAAAGACTTAAGAGCACGAATTCCTGAGGCATCATTACCAGTCACAACAATGTCATCAACATACACAATGAGATATATTGCCAGAGATTCACTTCTCTTCACAAAAAAAGTATGATCTGACTGTGTCTGAGTGTAGCCAAATTTAACAAGTGATGTTCTAAATTTCTCAAACCATGCTCTAGGAGACTGTTTGAGGCCATAAAGAGATTTTTTCAATTTGCATACCTTTCCTTGCATATCACTTCCATACATTCCTTGAGGGAGAGACATATAGACCTCCTCATGTAAGTCACCATTCAGAAACGCATTCTTTACATCCAACTGATAAAGGAGCCAATCAAAGTGAGCTGCCAGAGATAAGAAAACCCTCACAGATGTCATCTTAGTAACAGGAGCAAAGGTCTCCAGGTAATCAATCCCATACGTCTGTGTGTAGCCTTTGGCAACCAGTCTAGCCTTATACCTCTCAATAGTCCCATCAGCCCGGTATTTAATGGTAAAGACTCACTTGCAACCAACTGGATCCTTCCCTTTAGGCAAATCCACCACTTCCCAAGTATCATTTTTGTGTAAGGCATCCATTTCAGATTTCATGGCATCTCTCCATTCTGGAATCTCAAGAGCTTCTGACACAGATCTAGGAATAGGATTAGAAGCAACTGAAGAGAGAGAGGCAAAGTATGAAGGAGAAAGTAGGTCATAAGAAAGGTGTTTGGAAATGCAGTGTGCAGTGCACTTCCGTTTTCCTTTCCTAACAGCAATAGGAACATCAAGATCTATGAAAGATGGTTCCAAAGACGTTAAAACAACACCTATTATCTCATCTGTGATTGGAAGTGTATGAGGCTCATCTGCTGTAAGGGAAACAACCTG